TGATTAAATTTAAGTGCGATCAGTGTTTTGTAAAGAGTACTATTCCTTAGAAATGTTGCTCTGATTTAGAAATGTGCTCTAGTGACTTATAGATTCTCAAGGAGAATGAGAGTTTCATTTGTTGGGGAAGAAATAGCTTGCAGAAGAAACTTTCACCCAAGTTTGGAAAAAGACCTTTGAGCCTTACTTCCTTGTTTGCAAAATTGGAATACCTTCTCACCTCCTCTTGTGAGATTCAGGAAATGTGCTGGACGTGGTGGCACATGCCTGTAATCTTGGCACTTGGGAAGCTGAGGTAGGAGGATGGCTGTGAGTTTGAGACCAGCCTGAACTACATAGTGAGACTGTCTTAAAAAAAAGAAAGAAACATTGAATAGTTCAGTGGTGGAGTACATGAAAGCTCTGTGTTCCATCCTCAGCACCAGAAAACACAGCAGTTTGATTAATTTTGTCTGCATGTATCACTTAAGGTTCTGCATTTGTTTTTCAACTCAGTATGATTCTGTGTATTCCCCTGAGCACCCCCCCCCCACTGGTGGGAAGAATAAACCTAAATTTTTTTGACTCCAATTTTAGATTTATATAAAGACATTAAAAAAATTAAAAAAATTAAACATGGACATCTATTGTCACTCTTGCATGAATAAGTTTTTTTTTTTTTTAAAGCTTAATGTATTTTGGTTAAAGGTTAGATTAATATTTCAGTGCACCTGGGGACTCATTTGACCTTCAAGTTTATGACCCTTTTCCAGAATGGCTTTGATTTTGGTAAAATAGTGTTGAAGCCAAGATTGTCTCACAGTTTCTGTATTCTGGTGTTTTGGACTAGGGGCCAGTGCCCATAATTCCAGACTTTGGGTGTCTAGTTGCTAGGGTTCAAATGTATTCAAAGCAGTGTTAGGCCCAGAGCCTTCATGAGGCTCTCTGTGCATGTCTGTATGGTTATTATTCATTGGACACTACACTGTCCAGGAATTATATTAAAATGTCTCTTTAGCTGGGCTAAAGGCTGAGGCAGGAGAGTTGTGAGCCAGCCTGTGCTACAGATTAAGACCCTATCTGAAAACAAACAAAAAAATAATCTCTGCATGCCTAAGATTTCCCAGTAAGTATGCAAGTTTCTCCTACTTAGTTGAGGGTTTGAGGAGGGCTTTACTTTCAGCCAACAACTGTTTTAAAAGTCCTACCCATAAGAAGTATGCTTTGAATGTGTTAGCAGCAATAGGAGACTTTCTATATAGGGAAGTAACTGAGTTATTAATTTTGTGATAAATTGGACTTGGCTTATGTTATTAATGGTACCAAACCAAGTTATGCTCAGGTCATGGGAAAACATACCTGAAGACCTGAAATGTTATATCTGCTTTTCTCCTCTCATTCTTTCAAGTCGGTAAACTCCTCCCCCTCCCTTTTTTTGAGACAGGATTTCACTGTGTAGTTCAGGCAGGCTGTGAACTCACTGTGTAGTTCTGGCTGGCCTCCTGCCTTAGCTTCCCGAGGGCTGGGATTACAGTCATGGGCCACCATGCCTGGCTAAAATACCTGATTTTTATCCAGCTCTTAGTTGGTTCTGATGTTCAGCTTGGTTAGAAATTCTGAGATGAGATGATTGGTGAACTGCATAATTTTTAAAAATAATTTCTTAAAAGAGACTGACAGTTCGTGTAACTTGCTCCCTTCTAAACCAGTATGTACTGAGTGTTCCAACGTGAGAGCATTAGCCTCTTGTGTATCTGACTGTTGGGACTGCTGCCCTGTCTTGTCCTGTGTCTCACCCCACAAGGACCAATCAAACCAGGGCCTCGGGCGTGCTGGGCAAGTGCTTCCTGCTGAGCTTCATCCCTAGTCCTGTTTGGACTTGTTGTGTCCTCAGTCAGAATCACCTGAATCTCCAAGGTCTCCCCCCCCCCCACAGTGTAAGTTAAAATAATCACCTCATATGGTCCCTTGCCTAAGGTGTTTTGTTTCTGGGGTTACTGGGGGTTGGATGGAACCCTGGGAACACTCAGTTTCATCCATAGCCTTCCTTTTTTGTTGCACTGAGAATTAAGCCCAGGGGCGCTCTACCACTGGGCTGTATCTCACCTTTTTATTTTTTATTTTGAGGCAGGGTTTTGCTAAGTTGCCCTTGTGAGACTTGCTCTTGTATACCGGTTGCTTCAGCCACCCTCAGAGCAGACCAATTCTTTTTTCGTATTTCCTTTTGAGACTTGCAAAGTTGCCTGCACTGGCCTTGAGCTTTTGATCCTCCTGCCTTAGCCTTCCAAGTAGCTTGTATTCCAGATGTGTTGCCCACCTTTTTTAAAAAATAATTTTTAAAATTTCTTATATATGCATTTTCATTTTAAAAATTTTATTTATTTGTTTTTGCTTTCTGAGGCAGGGTTTTTCCTTGTAGCTCAGGCTGGCCCGAACTTGAGGTGATTCTTCTGCCTTAGACTCCTGAGTGCTGAAGTCACAGGTGTGCGCCCCCACACCTGCCCTAATTTTGTTTTTTATAGACAGGGTCTTTGCTATGCAGTTCACGCTGGCCTTGAACTATGTAGCCCAGGCGGACCTTGAACTTGGGGCTATCCTCCTGCCTCAGCCTCCTGAGTGCTGGGATGGTAGGCGTGGGCCACCATGCCTGGCCCTTCAATTTTTTTTTTTTTTTTTTTTTTTTTTTTTTTTTATTTTTTTTTTTTTTTTTTTTTTTTTAATTCTAGCCATACCTTCATTTAGCTCTGGAAAGATAAAATTATGTGTTTGGAGACAAATTTCCCCAGTTATGACTGATTAAAAATGTTTTTAATATAAGTAGGGTAGCTTTATAAAAACCTTATTTCTTCTAGGTTTGCACGTTTTACCTCTAAGCCCATATAGGGTTAGCATGCTCAATGACTTGATTTCCCTTAAATGACTGCTGTTCTTTCGGAATCATTGAAGATCTAGATATGACTGCTGTTCTATCGGAATCATTGAAGATCTAGATACGGCTTTTCAAAGTTACCTTAGGTTTATCTACCCTTTTAAGGTTGACTTTCTGAAAGACTTCTTTTACGGGACAGAAAAGTGTTGTACCGTTTTGTCCTTATAAATGCTGTTTACCTTTAAAATGGGGTTTGTGCCTGCTTTGTGGATGATGAAATGAGAAATCAGCAGATACTGATTCATTTTGTGTGACTACCATTATCTAGTATGAGACTGCAGAAATGACTTCACTTGACCTATTTTTAATACAGCTGCAAGATTAGACTGATCTGCTTTTTCACAATTGTGGGAGGGAGGGATGGATGGATGGATTGATTGGTGCTGGGGATCTAACTCCAGTCCTTGTACTTGTGAGGCAGGCGGCGGAACCTCTGAGCTAAATCCCCGGCCCACAGTTGTGGGATTTAAATGAAGAAGTTGGGAATACACTCTGTGGCTTACCACAAGTTCTCAATGGATGTTGAATTCTAGTCCTAGTCCTTTTTATTTTAAAGTATTTTTAAGAGAAATTCTCACATTCAGCTTCTCATTTTTTTATTCTTTGGCGATAAAGACAGGCCATTGGCCAAGGAGTTCTGCCTGTGCACCTGTACCCTTACCCTTTATTTCAGAGGTGGAGGTGGGAGACGTACTGGAGATTGAACCTAGGGCTTACTGAGGGCTAATCACATGCACCACTATGGAGCTACACCTCTAGCCTTTTTCTCTTTCCGTTACTGGGGATTGAACTTGGGACCTTGTACTTGAGAGGCAGACAGCGGAACCACTGATCTTCGGGGGACCAAGCTCTTCATTCGTTGTTTGACTATTTTTCTTTTTGAGTCTACTCTAGATGTAGCAGACACAGAATTAAAATAATCACAGCCTGGAATGATAATAGATAATGTATCTCATTGATTTTTTTTGTTGTTTTTGAGACAGGGTTTCTCTGTGTAGTCGGGGCTGGCCTTGAACTTGTGGGGATCCTCCTACCTCACCTTCCAAGAGCTAGGATTACAGGCATGCAACACCACGCCTGGCCTTACCATTCCTTTTATAGAAGGTCTAGGGATAAAGATATTCTAATGATTTTCTGCTAGCCCAGCAGCTAACTAAAAATAAATTGCAGTGACTTAAATTTTCAATTTTTTTCCAACTAGATAAAAACCACTAAAGGGTGGGAAATATTTTACTGAATTCAGGTTCAGTATATAGGAAGAATCTAGTCTGGGGAGAATTGTAAGAAAAGGGATTAATAATGAGGTACAAAAAATTGTTCAAAATTAGAAACAGTGGAAATAAATTCAGGGAAGTGAATGAAGCTCCTATTTTTCATGTCGTATAGAATTGATTTTCCCTTGTTACTTCTAAAAATGTTTGCTGCAGCCTTGTGCATTTCTAACTCTTGGCGCTAATAAAACTGTCAGTAGGTGTGTGTCTCTGAAATGACAGGGTAAATGCAGGTGAGCATGGCCCGAGTCATGTGCAGTATTTAGGCATCTGTTGAATGGTGTGATTCGTAAGAATTCACTCTTCTGAAGGAGAGTGATAAGGCCTAGTGATTAAGGATCCACAGGGTGTGGACAAAATTCCAGTTCTTCTGTAGGTGCTGTGACCTTGAAGGAGTTAACTCTCCATGCTCAGTACCTCAGTTTCCTCACTTGTAGTAAGGAGAGAGTAGTAATACCTGTGAAAAGGTAGATGGTTACTTTTCTCTTGAATCTTAGTAAAGCAGTAATAAACACTTGATAATTGAGCTATTTTAAATAGTATTAAGTGTATTGCCTTATTTTAGATAATTTGGTAATGATAAGTAGCCCCTCTATCTATAGTTTTGTTTTTTCTAGGACTATGTATAAATTCTGAATTTAGACCACTAAGATTAAATGTATAGTATTTCTAACACATTTAAGATTAGTAAATTAAAGATTTAGAGGCCTTATATTAACAGTATAATTATATTTAGTAACTTGTGAAATGATTTTCTGTAGAAGGGAATAGTATGGCTCTACTGATCATGTATCTTTTTTCGTTTTCTTTTTTCCTAATAGAAAGCGTGGATACCCATCAGCGAAGTTTTGATATTGGAATTCAGATTGGCTATCAGCGACGCAATAAGGATGTGTTGGCTTGGGTTAAAAAACGCAGAAGAACTATTCGCAGAGAAGATTTGATCAGCTTCCTGTGTGGAAAGGTTCCTCCACCACGAAACTCTAGAGCTCCCCCAAGACTGACTGTAGTGTCCCCTAACCGAGCTACTTCAGCGGAAACTAGCTCCTCTGTAGAGACTGATTTGCAACCCTTCCGGGAAGCCATAGCTCTGCATGGTAAAGCCGTTTAAACATATTTCTTTGGAAAGATGGTTAAGAGTGTGCCTGTGGACTCATTTCCATGTTTAGGCATAGATCCAGATAAATTGTCTGCTTTTTGTCTATTACAGTAAATACTCTAGTAATGTTTGAACTAGAATGTAAGTTAAGGGCAAATTTTGACTGTCAGCTAGGCCATCTTAAAAATGTTTTTAGAAGGTTAGCTCAAGCATATTGATGTTATAGTAACAGTGTTTCTGCAACATTGAGTAGAATTTGTTGCTTTGCATTATATGATGTACACTCTTACTCTTCTGAGTTAAGGAAGTTCTGTGTTTTAAGAATTCTATTGCATTTGTAGCTGCTTGGAGGGCAGCCTGGTCCATGAGAGGCAAGTAAAGTGGGTAATTGTTGGGTTAGTTCTCAGGAACTGAGAACTGCTGTTGGCACCCTTCATTATCTCCTTTGCTGTAGAGGATGGGCGTTGATGACCAAGGGTAGAGGAGATTTGGAGGTCCATTTTCCTCTTTCCTGTGACGTCCTTCAGGCCCTTCTTGCTTTGATAGGATGATAAGTGCAGCTTGTGGGCAGATCTATCACTACCTTCCCAGGCTAGGCCTGGCATCAGCAGGCCTTCTTGGATGAGGGGCTTTAGGGTTACAGGAGAAGCCTGAGAAACACTGTCAGGGATAAGTCTCTTGTTGCTTGTTCTCTAATGCAGACTTCCATGTAGAACTGGGGGAGTTGTTGTCTATATGGCAACATACAATATTGCAGCTAAGAAAAAGCAACAAAATGAGAATTGATTGAAGCCAAGTTGAAAACATGGATCAAAGAGATGATTAAACAAGAAGTAACTACTGAGAGATAACCAGTGATTTAGATCATGAATCCTGTTAGAAATTAACATTTGTGGGCCATAGAGTAGGTCATCTAAAAGTTAACCTGGTAATAAAAATGTGGCAGATAACACATGCACATGGGCACAAACACATGTGATCTTTTACATCATTGAAACTTTAATGCCTATAGAGATTTGTACTCTCTTTTGGCATACCTTGACTCTTTCCTATACTCCTAATCAGAATATGGAGTTGGAAAAAGTACTTTTGTTTTTTGAGGCTTACAAGTTTATGGCAAGTTAAAAAAAAATTACTCTAAGTAAGCCCGGGTTACATGGATACAGTATTTAAGACTCTAGACTTATTTGTAATGTTAGAATAGTTAAGCTGTTCAGAACTTTTGAAACTCAGGCAAAAATATGTTTGATCTGTTCCTACTGAATTAGAGTTTGAAATTTACCCCTTAAAGTTTGCAAATACAATTAACAAGAGATATGCAAAGTTTTATCAGATTGAGTTTATGGTAGCATGTCTCGGATTTATGACTCATTTCATACTTATTTTTTTCTGTATCATATTACTGTTTTGTAGAAATATTTTTAAGCAACAAATGCCAGCTTGTTATAAGATCATAATGCTCTTGTGTACATAGTAAAAAAGACAAGGCTAGTCCCGTGCTTTGGGAAATTACTCTAACTCCCAGCATATTTTTTTTTTCTTTTTTTTTTTTTGAACTTTGGGAATTTTAGTGATGATGTAGTTGCACAAGGGACTATTTGTAATTTTGACTTAACATTTAAATTGTTAAGAGTTTTAAAAAGCTTAAATATAATACTTTGTTGAAAAATATAATTTTCCCCAAAATGATTTATAAGAGCACTAATTCGGTAGACAGAAAGTACACTTTATTCTTTGGAAGTCATACCTATAATTTATGTTGTTAAAAGTCAGTGCTGGAAGAAGTAATAGGGCCTCATGAAAGAGTCTATAGAAATGAATTGCACTGAGCTTTATGCTCCAGTGGTTTTGAGGAACATAAGTGTATCGAGGAGAATACAAATGTCATTTGGATCTTTAAAAAAATTTGAGTTGTAGTAAGAACATTATTAACTAGTATTGTAGATTAACTACCTTATGTAAATTGAAGTAAAAACTGTTAAGGTGATCTTTGAAAATGTACTTGGGAACATCTTACTGAGGGTAAATACTAAGCCAGAATTCAGTTTCGCATGTAATTTTTAAAAAATCAAATCTGTAGTTTAAAAGTGAGTTCAAATGGAAGTTTTTGTAGTTCTACATGAAGAGTGAGTCTAAATTCATAAAAGTTTTGTAGAACAAGAGACATGGGAAAGAGAGTATGTTGAGGCAAACTGGAGTGTATAATTAAAGCAAACATCACGTTTTCATGTCCTATATAAATAGGACAATTTTCCCCTATATTTTTTAAATCAGTTCCTAGACAACCCACCCCATCAATATCCACCAGACACACCCATAGATCCCTAAAGTGTAACAATTTGAAGAAAAGGCAAAGACAGAACGTTTGCAGAGATTTTCATGTACACTAGGTGTCACAGATGAGTAAGATCTGGTGTTGGGTAACCCTCACTAACCTTAACCCCCACTTTAGCAGGAGAGGTTTAGATAAACAGCTTCAGTCAAAAGTATATCAATGAATGGTTATGAGAAAGTTTCAGTCAGAGCTCCTTTAATGGCTAGGAAGGCTTAAGACTAATCCAGTGCTTTATTTTTGACCCTGGCTATAACATGTTGTTTATTTTCTTTGTAGTATGATTGGATGTTAGAGTTATAGACACATGAATTGATTTTTGTCATTTCCTTGTCTTAACATTGCGAATTTACAGAAAGCCAAATTATCAACTTGTTTTTTATGTAAACAGTGTTTTAGGTGGACTAAATCACCTGGACTACATTGTAGTTCTCTGCCTACCTTTCCAATGACTCTTTTAGTAGCCTTTTCTCTTTCAGAGCCTTTTCTTTTCTGCTGTTTTGGCTCTGTCTTCCTTTAGGTTCTTTCATTGACCTGAGTTATATGGCCAGCTATCTAGCCCTACCTGCTGCCTTCGGTAGGTAGGCCCTGTAGGATCATCTCTTAGTTCCAGATGGCTACTTCTCATTTAAACTTTCTCTCCAGGGTATCAAACATAAGTGTCCTATACATATTTGTCTCAATATGGTTCAAACCAGAATTTACCTTCTGACCCAAAAACAGCAAATACATGTCATTGTTTATAGCTATTCAGCATTCTGTACAATCTCTAGGATAGATAAGCCAATAAAGAGTGCATTTTTTTTTTCTCTTGAGGCAAACAGGTTGATTTATTCTAATATCTTGAAGGTGATGTGTAAGATATTCGGGGGACAGAAAGGAGCATTTCAATAGTGCAGGTTAGTATGGGCTGAGGAATGGCCCGCTGGAAGAGCTGAGCTTGGGCTTGGGATAGTCTGTGTTCTTGCTTCTCATTTCTGAGCTGACTTGGTCATCAGTCTCTTTGCTTGAGTTTCCTAGATCTACTGGAGCAAGTGCAGACTCAGCGGGGTTTTCAAGGCCCTTGTCTTGACCTGGGGCAGATAATCCTAGCCATAATGTTTAATTGTTTGAATAACTTCATGCTCTCCTTACAAGCCCTCATACCGTAGCTCTTCATCCTGGAAGATAGATGAAAAACCCCTTCCTGACTCAGCTTTTCTCCAGTTTTTCCTTTAGTTTTTCTCATTTGCAGAGTCTTCCTTGAATAGGGCTTCCGTTTACCTCCATGATTGTCTTTTGGCTGTTACTTGAGCAAAGGCCCTTTCTTGTTCCTTTAGGCTTTTACATAGTTTAGCAAAATATCTGATACTGTTGTATTCATAGTTTACCACGGGTTAACACAGAATTCTGAAAAGGGAAAATTGCACAGTGAAGACTGAGAACCTGTGTAAAGGGTAATAATTACAGTCCCCAGATGACTACAAGTAGAGAACACTACAAGTAGGGCAGAATGTAACCTGTGTGTCTAGGGGTGCTACAGAGGAATCTTGTGTTGGAACAACTGGGGATTTGCTGGGACCTGAGGGTGATACCATTAGAACTATTCTTTTAATGTGTACTTTGTACTATGGTAAAGGAAGTCTCATTTAGTCTTTACCCATACCCTGGGTTATTGCCATTTTATCGACGAAGGCCCATTGGTTAAGGTGGTGCAGATTAGTAAGTAGTAGAATAGATTATCTAGATTTATGTGGCTCAAAAATGTATCCTCTTCACCATTTATACCACCATGTTTGTTGGTTTAGGGTGTCTTTACTCCCACAGCGTCCCTTTCTTGGTATAACTTAGGGTTGGGGTAAGAAGAGGATTTTAGTTAAAGACATTAGGATCTTGATGTCGTGGTGGTACATGCACACACACCTGTAATCCCAGTGCTCAGGATGCTGAGGCAGGAGGGTTGTCATGATTTCAAGCCAGCCAGGGCTTACACAGAGAGACCTTCAAAAAAAACAAAAACAAAAACAAAAAAGATACATGAGATTTGTGTGTGTATAGAGTGTCATGTCCTGTGGGGCCTCTCCCACCCCCATCTGGATAAGCAGGCTTGAAGATGGATGATTTGGGACTTGCTGTGTCCTTGGCTTGCATGGTTGCAAGAGTACCCAGGCTTTGCCATAGGCCACATTCCCTGTATAGTCTTGGACAGTATGTTTTAACCTTTACAAGCCAGTTTCCTTTGTGGCAGTGATGGCATTTTGTTTATAAGGTGGTATGGGAGGACCTCAATGGATCACCTAACCTACCACATGACAGTGTGTTTATCCTTGAGGAAAGGAAGATTGCTGGTTAGAAGTCCTGCCTGTGAGTGCCATGCCCTCTTTGCCCTGTGGCGGGCCACGTGAAAAAATAGACCGATAGCCCCAGTTTCATGCTCCTATATAGTCTTTGAAGAGCCTTCTTAATTCCCTATTTAAATTGGCCATATTTACTCCAGAGAGTAAGTTGATTTTAAACTTGATTGTTACTAAAATATTGATTGTCAAGATTTTGAGCTTGTTTAATGTTGATAAACTGATGAAGTTGGTTACAATCTCCACTTCATAGAGAGAGGCTCTGACTTAGCTTCCCCAAGCTAGTGCTGTCTAGAAAACCTTACATTTAGGTCTCTTCTCTTTGTCCTGAGT